TTTTTGAAATGTACCATCAGGAAATATGGATATGCCACGCTTAACTTTATCTAGTACTGTAGTCATCACTATACGCTGTAGCTAAACGATAGTTCAATATCCCCGTACCCAATGGTTCGATCTTTCGAAAGCGGGCCAACCTGATTCTACCAAAGACAACATTCGTTCTTCCGTCATTGGCGGTCTGCTTAGTGCGACGCATGCTCAGGGCATTCACACTTACATCGGTACTGCAGACGCACAGGCGTCTCGTCGAACGATAGATGGACCTCTAGGTACGTACTGGGAAAATAATCGAAATGTTCCAGTACGGATGGAATGCGTCACAACAAGCCATGTAGGGGAACGCATCTCTCACCAGTGGATGATAATTTTCTGCCGTCATTGCTGCCATGGGTAGCCGGACACATGAACGTGTCCGAAGTTACTGCTATGCCCACGCTATGGTGCCAAGATATAGACAAATTTTAACAGTTTTTATTTTGCCAACACGCACATTGTTGAATAGCGCAACTTCGCGTTTACGATTTTCGTTCGATAAAGCCTCGGACGAGCACAGGGTAGAGCGGTACCCGTGCGGTTTTTTTACGAGTATGATAATCGCACGAGTCGTGATCGTCGAGGGTTTTAGTGCTTGTACCCATCTTTGGATTTTTGGGACGAGCACAATTTTCATGCTCGTTCTAGTGAGATCTCATTTGCCAAAAATGTAATACTAGGAAGCGTGGTGAAGGACGCGGGGAGCGGTGCCGGCGTACCGTGAAGGATGGTGTATCGACGATTTCAGCAACGTCCGAGGCAGCGAGGCAACGCCTTCGAGAAGATGAAGCAACAGACACTAAATGCTGAACTGGTCTGCAAACTGAACGCGTGCGCGACGATCTTTGCCATAAATGACTCGATCCTGCTTGTGCTAGAGCTTCGTTAGCCCTTAAAAAGCGCTAATATGCACATCAACGATTGCGATGTGCATTCCTACTATTTAGCGGCGGTAGCATCTTGCTGATGCGCATTAAGAACGAACATCGATAAAAGCTGTAGCCATTGAACGAGCAGGGAACGAGATTGTAGTCATCATCATGCTCCTAATTTTGGACATAGGAGAGAGCACGGGATCCGACCAACTTAACAAAATTTCGTGGTCGTGCTCGTCGCGTTCGATGGAACCCAGACGTACTGACGTACACAAAATGCATCAAAAATTTCTATCAAACTTTTCCTAACGAACCACTACGTACTACCGAACGCGTTACTTTACAGCCCATCCGTCGCGGATGGGTTAAGCATTGCTGCCACCTTTGACAATCCCTTCTAATATGCACGACGGTGAGCAATATGTCCGTGCTTATTTCCAAATTTGCTGGTTCCTGAGCAACACCAAAACTCCGCCGACA